TGCCAGCGGCTTCCAGGGGGCCCGTGGGCAGCCAGCGGGTGCAGGTTTGCATAGCTGCTTTGAAGTAGGTTTATCAGTTGATAATTGAAGGCAACCCTCTTCCAGGGAATACAGGCTTCTAGGTACTTTGCTGAAGAGCTGCATTCAAGCTTGGTTTACATTTAACTTGTAGCACAAGTAACCTGTCACGGGCTGGAAGTAAAAATCACTGGTGGGTGAGTCCTACTGTTGGGTAAGGAAGGTCATTACATTCTGGGATCCAAGTTCAGACCAAACTTCTTGTCAGGTTGTAGCTCCTGCGCATTCTCCTTGGCCTTTCAAGGAAGACAAAGCACCATAGAGAAGAGCTGCAGGTTTGAGTTCATTCAAATGTTTGCTGGTTTTAGAGTGAACAGGATATCCTGCTTAACAAGTTAAGGCTCCAAAAGTGTATTGAAGAAATTGTCTGTGAAAGTGCACAAGAGAATATGAAAATTTATTATCTTGCTTGGTCAGCTGGGAACTCTTCATTCATGCTGGAAACATTTCTTGAATCTTCAGGCAAAGTTCCTTTCCTTGGCCACCAGGACTTCCTTTTTTTAGCTAAATTGTGTGTTAATATTGATACAACTTGAATATGAAGATGTTGGGTTCTTTTTAATGAACATCAAAAAAGCTGATTATATTAACCCGAGGGAAATCAAGTATTGATCATATATCTGGTTTCTAATTAGTGACTATAAATGTAAGTAGTTTGTAGAAGAACAATAACTTTTTTTTGGTATTTTTTTTCTTGTTTTTATTAGTTTTATTGTGTACAATCTGCTTGGACAATTTTTTTCTTGTAGTATAGCTATCAATATCTGATAGTACATCATAGTTTCTTAAAATATTGAAAGGTTTTCTGAAACAAGTACACAACTTCAATTTAGTGAAGTTGAGGATCTAGGGGTGAAGTGGGAAAGTTGTCTCATTGTGTCTCCTCCTCTGGACTCATGTAGGAAGGTGCCCTTATGAATGCCCTTATCAAGCTCCTAATGCATACCAGCTCATTCCAGCTGAGCTGATGCTGGATGCATCATAGCCTTGTGTGTTGTTTGGTAAGAAACCGGTGCGTCTTAGCCATGCTTACCTTGTGGGCCATTAGGCTGAAGTGGATCATTCTTGCCTTTAGTAAAGAATAGCTCCTTGCAGATGTTGTTTTGGGGGGGGGGGGGGGGGGGGGGGAAAAAAAAAAAAAAAAAAAAAAAAAAACACAGCCGTTTTGACGGGACAACAACAAACAAACAAACAAAAAAACCTAGCGCTTTACTTTAAACTCAGTACATTCCTGTGCTGAGTGTCCCTCACATGTCCAGCAGAGGCAGCATGTTGCTGCATCCTGGCTCTGCAGCGTCTAGAAATTGGGCGCTTTAGCAGGGCTTTTTTGACATTTATTTAATAGCCGATCAGCTTTAGCTAAAAGCACCAAAGAGCTCCGCTGAAGCTCCTGATCTTTACAGATGCTGCAGAGCTGGGCTGGAGTAACTTGCTGATTCTTCTAGTAAAGCACAAGCAACCAAAGTGTATTTTGATCTTTTTCTGTGGCCTTTGATTTGTCACCAACTTAATATAATGTCATATTGTCTAAAGTGTAAGAAAGAGTGTATGTTTGCAAGAACAAAAAATAGGATGCCAATTGTCAAAGGAATATTTTGGGACTTACAGGTAGCCAGAGTTGAGAAGTGCAGTCTGAGGACTCGGTCGTGTGTGTTCAGATTTGGAGCCCATTCTGAAGAGCGACTGCTAGACATACCCATTCAGATCCTGTTAAATATGGGACCCAGTTCTGCTGCTCTTGTTCAGGCAAAACTGTTTGATTCCAGTTATAGATGACTGGACTGTAATAGCAGGCAGAACCTGAGACAACAGGCAAATTCTTGCACACAAAAGGAGCAGTTGAAATGATGAAGAATTGGAAGCCCAATATGCCAGCTATTTTAGCATACCTAGTTACCTTAGATTTAAGAATAAAACTTAACATTCATAGAATGTTTACTGGTGTACGTGACTGCAGTTCTAGTTTACCATTAATGCATTTTTCTAAGCCGACGAGTGGTAGATACATGTTAGCCCAGTTTTACAAATAGGGACATTGAGACAAAAGGTGAAGTAATGGATCCAAAACCATAAAGTTAATGCAAGAACCAGGATTAGAACTCAGGACTTCTGACTCCCACCTCTTAGGTTATTCCAACTGGCCAAACTGGCTTTAAAAAAAAAAAAAAGAGCATGTAAAGCTTCTCCAAAGATTAGCAGCCCACTGATACTGACAACGGAGAAGCATATTATTTGAGTCATAAATTTTAAATAAGTCTAATGATTTACCCCAAGGATTGGCTTTGCATAGGGTAAAGGAAGGTTTCTAATTAAATGCAGATCAGCTGTACACAATGAAAAATATCAAAACACTATCTATTTTTAGCTCTTATTAAAATGCCAGTTGTTTCCAGATAAGTTAATTTTCTTCTTTATACCTCTGTTCATTATAGGTAGGACTGCGGAAGAGCCATGCCGATCATAAGAAGGATGGGACTTGTTTCATAGGTAATAAGACACTATTAACTCAGAACCACTCCCAGACCACCAAGTGCATTCAGAGTGTCCTTAAGGAAGTGGAGCTACTTCGGAGTTCCAGAGATGGACAAATTGAAGAAGCAATTAGGTTCAATCAGGAATTGGAAAGGGAGTTGAGGAGTTCTCAGGAAGCAGTAGTCACCTTGGAAGACTGCAACCGTAACCTAAAGAAGGAACAGGCAGAAATGAGGAAGAAAGTTGAGGAAGCCAGATATGCAGTCCTGAACAGTCTTGAGAAAGTGAAGGAACTAGAAGCAAAAGCCAATGAAGTACCACAGCTACAAACACACATTCAGCGGCTAGAATCAGAACTACAGTACTACAGGTAAGCTTTCTTGATTTTATTGTCTCAATTGTGGATCTGTGTACAACAGTATTATAGATTCATGTCTTTACAATATTATACTAAAAATGGAGCCCACTAACAAAAACATATTTAATATAAATATAGTAGCAAATAGTTTGGTTACTTTGTTCAAACTTATTTATATTATGGGTGTATGTGTGTTGTGTCATTTTTGGGAGCATGGCATTTAGCTAGAATCCTTAATAAACTGAATTGAAATTGAATTTCTTTATTCTTTAAAGAAGTCATTTGAAACAGGTAGGCTTTAGACCATACAAATGAAAGGTCTATCAAATCACCATCTTTAAACACAGCTTGACTTGAAAAAAAATGGTTATTTTATCAAATCTATTTATAAAATGTGGTTGGAGAGAAATTAGGAGCTCTCTGTTCATTTACTTAGTAAGACTCCACGGCAGATATCACTGCATTTTTTTGGCGGAAGTAAAGATATATTACAGTGAGGAGATTCTCCAAATAACTGATACACCAAAAAGAAAAGCAGCAGCAACACTTCAAGATAAACCTATAGAATCATTAATTTACTCACTCCTTTATTAGTCTACATTTTCCACCTATTATTTTAAGTTTTAACAACTAATTAGAATTGCATTATTTCCTGTTTATTAAACCTGATATACACGTTAGAAATGGTAACTGAATGGAGAGTGTTCCATCACTCATTTGAAATGTATACTAAGTCATAAGTTGGAAATGTCATGAGCAAAGCTAGGTTCTAGCCTCAAGTTTTAAATTATGCTGTGCATTATAGTCTATCTATGAAAAGTGATAGATGTATCTCAGTTCATTGGATAGCAAATAAATTAAAAAATAGCTTTTGGATAATTATTGTGCGTCTTGTAGACATTACAAAGCTTTTCACTGAAGTTACATGGAAACTAGTGGATTCTAGGACCTAGTATGCAGGGGAAGTGGCTGGGGAGCCGTGAGGGGTCTGGTCCTCCTTGTAGCAGTGCAGCCCTGGCCCCTTCGCCACCATCTGCCCCGAGGCACATATGCACCCACTGCCAGCAATGAGCTGGGCTGGGATTCTATGGACCCCAGTGCAGCCGCTTGCAGTCCTGGCCAGCCATGCGCTGGCAGCAGCAGCAGGCAAGGGGTTTTCCCAGCCAGTTGCTGCCAGCCCTGCCACAGCTCCATAAGGGTGGCAGTAGCACGAGGGGTTGTCCTAGCCTGTTGCTGCCACCTAGAGAATAAGTGAGAACAGGCAGGGGTCAGTCCCTGTAGATAGAGGTTATTGGTCAACTGTTTAACAGACAACATTAGGGGAGTTTAAACAGGTACTTAATTAATGGGGATTTACATCCCAGTACAGACCTAATTCCTTTGATGCTTTTGTTCAGACAAAAAAAACTTCCACATAATGCAGTGGTGCTTATTTGAATCGCAGGAAGTTTCTCTAGAATCAGAACTGGATAAATAGTGTTATGTATATATCAGCATATCTAGGTGGACATAATAGAGAGAAAGCATTTATTTTCAAATGGACTTCTCTTCAATTTTTTTCTTGATATCTACATATTTTAGTATTTTTGGCTACTCCAAACTTCATAATCTTTTCCAAATTGGTGTTTCAGCTGCTTGCTTACGGTAAGACTTCATGTTGAGTTATTTATGGCAACACAGCTATTGTGCTATATTTACATTGTATATTTATATCAGAAGAATCTAAAAATACCTACTCTATCCGGTGTCTTTATATAAGCATTGTGTATGTTTATAGTTGTGTGGCTGCAAAAAAAATGTATGCATTTCATTAAATCGCTGCAGCATTTTAAAAATACTGTCAAGAGCATGTCATTTCCTAGACTACACTCCTAACTTATTAGGCCCCACTGCCAGCAAATCCCTCTATGAGCAGTACAGCCTTCATTCTGTTGTCTGTGACAGTACTCCACCTGCCTGGAAGAGCAGATCTCCACTGGCTTTGCAGTGAGAGCACAGGCCCTTCTTGCTTCCCACCTGCAGAGAGATTTTTCTCAAGTGTGATGAAGCATGAAAACTCATCCTTGAGAAAAAGGAGTTAAAGATAGGGTGACCAAACATCCCAGTTTGGCCAAGACAGTCCTGGATTCCATAGGCCAGCTCCAGCCAGTTGGTCAAAAGTCCCAGGCTGGAGTCTGGTAGGAGACAGGGCAGCATGGTGCATCAGGTAGGCAGGCACCACTGCCACTGTGGGGAAACAAGAAATATAGGGACCTCAGATTTGGCATCTTAGGGTGACCATACGTCTTCTTGGCTTGCTCCTGCAGCACGGCAACATTGACTGCCTGCCCCCCTGCCTGGCACACCATGCCACTAGTGTCCCACCAGACTCCAGCCTAGAACTTTTGACCAATCAGCTGGGACTGGCCTACTGAATCCAGGACTGTCCCAGGCAAAACAAGATGTATGGTCACCCTAGTTAAAGATCAATAGTTCAATAGATCATACTTTAAAGATAAAAAAGGGCTACAGCAAAATAAAGGCTGTGGTTTAAAAATGTATAGTCACATTTTATTTGTAATAGAACACTTTGATTTATAATGCACAGTGATTTTTAAATTGAGTATAGGGCTCAGGAATGGAGCCTGATGACAGCCTGAAAACAATCTTTTAAGATGCTGAACATATTCAGCACAGGATAAATGCAGTTATTCCATAATGTTTCATCAGCAGGTTTTTGTCCTGTACAGATATCAGCTCAAAGGGCAAGACATTTGTTGCATTTCCTTGCCCATTTAACACTGGCCTCTGCTTTAACCAACTCCTTTGCTGGCAATTTATGTCAGTTGTGATATAAAGACATGGGGACAAATTCGTCTCTCAATGTGGGAGTCTGTACTGCACATTCCAGGATAGCAGAGAGATCTAGGAGCTCTTAAAGAGAAACAGGATAAGTTAGCCTGCATAGAGATCCAGACTGCTGTGGCTGTGCTATTTCTGCTATTCAAACTAGAATATTTAAAGTTAACTCAGATATCTGTGCACAACTTCAGTTTGCATTTTGGATATACCCAATTATACATATACATTGAATTCCATTTATGTAATGGGTGACAGAATCTAGCTGCCATTAACCATGCACTGAAAAGCCATACTGTACCCTTTGCTTATTTAGTTCAAAAAAGTCCTTGGAGGTAGATTGTGCAGAATCACAGGTTGAAGTTACACGTTAAACTTAGACACTATTAAAAGGCACTTAAAATGCAAGCGTCCACACAATGCTCATTAACTCATGCTGAGGGCCTGATGAGCATCTCAAAGTTGCTCCACTTCAGGCAAGGGTTAACTCTTGGCTGTGCTACCTGCTTGTTGAAAGTAACAACCCATGGAGTCTGCTCCATGGAGATGAAGAGCAATTTGCAGGCCTCCAAACATCCCAGGATGCACTGTTCCCAGCCCTCCCCACCCCTGCTCCTTGGACAAACTTTCCACCTTTCGAAACTCTACTGCCCAGCAGGTGTTACTGTCAAGGAGCAGGTGGGGTCCTGCCAGTGCCAGGAGGCAGGTTGCAGTGGCAGGAACATGGAGCTGAGAGGTAAAGAGGTGTGACCATGGGGGTTTCCTCCTACAGGACAGGAATATGAGGGCCTGAGGGAAGGGCTTTGCTACAGGGAGCCCTTCACCAACTCTTGCCAAACCAGTGCCCCCCACTCCTGATCTCAGCCCTCCCAGCCTTCCCTGGAGAGGATTATACTTTTTGCCCAGAGCCAGGCAAGAGCCATGGAAAACTTCAGTTAATCTCCATGCTGCTGCTATGCTAAATCCTTGGCGTCTGTGCTGGTAGCATAGCCCTCTTCCCCCACCCCCCCAAACTCAGGATAGGAATAGGGATGCAGAGGAAAGCCACAGCTCCATTAGACCATGTGGCTGGGGGAGTACCAGCAGTGCTTGAGGGAAATGGGCCAGGCAATGTGGGAAAATGTCAGTTATCTTGAGTAATTGATGTTAATTTAACTTTGTGGCTTTTGGCCGGCTCCGGGCAAAAGGCGTAAGTGCTCTCTGGGGAAGACTTAGGGGGCCCGAGATCAGGTCATAGGGGGCTGCAATCAGGTCAGCGGAGGTCAATGAAGGGCTCCCGCAGCACAGCTTTTTCCCCACTACCCCCTACCCTAAGATGCGGATATGGGGGGCCTGTGGAGGGAAGCCGAGACCCCATGCCTCTCTTCCTCCCAGCTCTATGCTTCTGCTGCTGTAACCCCTGACTGCCCCCCATCCCCACACCCAGAGCAGGGATACAGCCCAGGTCTCCTAGCTGCACCCCTGCTCACCAGCCTTTTAGTGGTAGGTGAGAGCTGTATAGGAAAGAAACAGTATTAACCCTTAGTGTGCAACTGCTCACAGCACATTCCAACTTTAACACTGCTGAACTCCGTATTTAGTATGGAGTAAATATACCATGCAACTTGACCCATAGAATCCTAAGCTAGAAGGGACTTCAAGGGTCATCTAGTAGTTGACCCCCTGCATGAATGCAGGATAGCACAAGAATAGTGTATCCCAGACAAATGTCAGTACAACTTCTCAAAAGTCTCCAATGAAGGAAATTCCACAAACTTCTCTGAACAGCATATTCCACTGTCCTCCTGTTCTGGCATTGGGGCACAAGGCAGCCCATATAGAAGGGAAGAATGAGGTGTGGTCTCTCTCTCTCTCCTGTATACACTTTCCTTCATTTATCTTCCCTCTGCTGTCCATAAGACCTGTAGATAGGCAGGGAGTTGGCCAAAGAATACAGTGAGGTGAACAGCTGCTTTAAACCTCATGTTTCCCCCAGATGTCCGATGAAAATTAGAATGCTTAAAGGACTGTAAATTATTGCTGCTATGAACAGATTATTCCAGCTCTATGAATTTTCTGCATCTCAGCGAGTCTGTGAGCACATTACAAGCATCCAGGTGCAGCATGAGTAAATACTGCAGGGTGTGGACAGAGAGAGGCACTCAAATAGAAGCTGTTTTGCTCACAGGGCAGAG